TTAACATTTCATCAGATAATTTGTTCCGCTTTTTACATGAAACACCAGTTGTTGGCGACGACAAGTCACATAAACGTTTATTGTCATACGTTTAACAAATTACAAAATAAAGATAAAGTTAAATACAAAGTTGAACTTTCAATTGATTAAAAAATACTAAATCGAGATACTAAAACTTGTATATTCGCTGCCCGCCATCTTTCTTCTCCTATCCAAATCGACGAATGAAAAAGATTCACGTTGGCTGCGATTGTTACTGACTGGGGTTGCCATATGATTGCACGATGGCGAATTTAGGGTGCGCTTACACTACCCAGTTATCGACACCAGTTACAACTGAAAAGATTCTTTCTTACTCAGCGCTTGAATTGGTTAACGTAAGAAAATTTTCGAAATTGTCCTTATACTTTTTAACAATTATATACCATTTCACTCCACATCACATCTTCAGAACGATTAATTACGTAAGAATGTCGAATATTCTTGAATTTTGATCAATTATGCAACAATAACTGTGTCAAAAGAAAATCCCTTATTTATATAAAATGTCCCTTTTTTCCCTTTTAATAAGTTTTGATGCAAAATATCCCTCAAATAGGGAAATTACCCACAATCTGGCATCACTGATTGGCTTTCACCTTACTGATTTGATAAGGACCCAAATATTTTGACTTCAGCTTTAGGCCTCCGCCCAATTGCGTTCGTTTAATTGCAACCGCATCGCCTATTGGCTTGTTTTCGTCGTAAATTGTAATTTTTTCTATTTTCTTCTTGCACCTTTAGCAACTGTTCTTTGGCACAGCGTCGATTCTCTGCTCTCTCGCATTCGAACTGCTTTTGTATCTCTTCATCGATTAGGGATTTAATGTGCAGATCTTCTTTAGTACGCATCTTTACTCCTGCTAGCAGTTCTATCGGCGTTGTATTGATGCTCCTTGTATAGGTGGAGTTAATCATTTGTTGGACTTTATCGAAGTGCTTAAACCATCTAGTAGAATCCTCGAGACTTAACTTCGTGAGAACCTGAATAATTACAGTATTGAGCCGTTCAACCTGGCCATTGGCGCGAGGAAGTCCAGTTATTATTTTTATGTGATTTAGGTTTTCGTCTTTACAATAGTTTTGAAATTCAGCTGATGTGAACGCTGAACCATGGTCGGAAATTATTTGGTGTGGGTTACCAAACGTTGCACTTTGAATTCGTAGTCGCGATATGACTTCTTGGGCCGATGTCGTCTTCGTAGGATATAACCAGCAAAATTTGGTGAACGCATCAATAACAGTGAATATATGCTTATATTGCTTGCTGGTTGATTCAAGAGGACCCAAAAAATCTGGAGTGGAGCGTCACCTTTATGCAGAGGATGCAGTACGCCTTCCTGCTTTCCCAGTTTTCGATTCGACATGATGCAAGGTATGCAACTTTCAATATACGCCTTTATTTTTTCGTCGACTTTTGGAATAAAATATTCTGCATTAATTAGTTCTTTAGTTTTTCGGACAGCAAAATGGCCCTTTTCGTGCGCACGTTGGATAACCTCTTTATACATGCCCTTTGGTACTACTATTAATTCGTTGTCGTTAACAAGCTGGAAGAGAATTTTGCCTTTCATGAAATAATTATCGTGATCAGTCTTGTCGTTTACAACATCTATAATTGCTTTAATTTCGCTATCTTTTTCTTGTGCACGTCGTAAAGCATTCAAGAAACCATCGTCGGCTATAGTTAACACTGCATACTGGCTGAGAGGGTCTACATGCCTCATCATCGAACCAGCGCGATGTTCAATTGTCTAGTCATAGTCTTGAAAAATAAAATCCAGCGTGCTACCCTTGTACAAAGATCCTTATTGTCTAACGTTTTAGTAAAAGCGTTACAATCAGTAACCAGCTTGAAACGCAGTCCTAACAAATACACCCTAAATTTTTTTAAAACTTCTATCACCGCTAATATCTCGAGTTCGTAGCTGCTATACTTCCCTTCGGCATCTGTAGTTTTCCTACTCATGTAGTACACAGGATGTAGGTGACCATCATTGGGCGATTTCTGCAACAACACAGCCCCGTAACCGTCAATGGAAGCATCGGTGTGTACTTCTGTTTCAAAGTTCTGATTGAAAATACCTAAAACTGGTTTTTGGCTAAGTAATCTTTTTAGTGTTTCAAACGCAACAATCTGCTCTTCGCCTATTTCAAATTTTTTATTTTGTTTAACGAGTTCACTTAAAGGCTTTGCAACTAACGAAAAATTAGAAATAAATTTCCTAAAATAACCTGCAAGACCCAAAAAACTCTGCACTTGCTTAATAGTCTTTGGCATTTTATATTTTATTAAAGCGCCAATTTTATTCGGCGATGGTGAAATCTTTTGGTTTTCGATTACGTAGCCTAAAAAGTCTATTTTTTGTTTTAGGAAATGACACTTTTTCAAATAAATTTCAAGTCCATTGCCTTTGCAAATGAGTATTACCTCAATTAAATTATTTACAGCTTCTTTCTCGTCACCACCAGGCACTATAATATCGTCTATGTAAGGTAATGCATGCTTCTACGCGTTGCTTCTCGAAATATGGCGTTGATATATTTTTGCAAAACACCAGGCGAGTTTGATAACCCAAACGGAACTTTGCAAAATTGATATTGTCCATTATGAGTAATAAACGACGTATATTTTTTACTAGACTCTGAAATCGGCATGTGAAAGAAACCATTTTTCAATCAGAAGTAATGGATAACGAACTTTCACCATAACTTTGTTTATTTTTCTAAAATTCACACGCAAACGTGGCGAACCGTCCCGCTTTTTCACTAGCACAATGGGACTGCAAAACTCTGAATTAGAATGTTCAATTAGTCCATCTTTTAACCATTGTTCGATTATTTAATCTACTTTATGTCTTTCTGCCAATGGAAGCCTACGCGGCATGGAATAAACTGGTGTTTCATCTTTTAAAATTATATTAATTACCACATTAGTAGACTTGCAGTTCATAGGTTTATAGTTGCCTATACAATCACGAATTGTATTTTGCGCACAAATACTAGCATTTTCGTCAATATTCAACGGTTTTTCATTTAAAATATCAATTTTCAACAATTCTAACACGTCTTCACTTACATCTTTCTCAGTTTTTTTAATTGACAGTCCATGAGCACTTATTGTAATTGTGGCTTGCGCACAGAAGTCTTCACCGAGCAATATGTCGACGTTTAGGTATCTAGAGGGAACCACCATAAAGTTTAGACTATATTTTTCACCATCAATTGTAATTTCATGCTTCACTGAACCCATGGGTTTAATTTGGTTTTCCCTATTGCTATCACCAAAACCAACTAGACATACACTAGTGCTCTGAAGTGTAGGCTTTCCTATGGCCACATACACTTTGTTTGTTATTATATTAAATTTACTCCCTGTATCGAAGAGTGCTAAAAAATTGTAGTTGCTGATTTTTACTTCTTTATGCATAATTCACGCAAAATTCTTGTATTTACATTTTTTGAATCATCATTTTTAAATTTAGAGCAATTTCTTCCAATGTGACCAAATTCATTACATTTAAAGCATTTAGTACCTTTCTCTTTGTTTTTACATTCCGCACTTTTATGTCCTTTTACCCCGCAGTTAAAACACCTGGCCCCTTTTTTTTCTACATCAACACTACCCATAGCTTTCTTCTGTTTGTATGACCATTTTTGTTCGACTTCTTGCTTAATCCTATTCCGCATTTTTTCATAACACTTGAGCTTTTCTTTAAATTGCTTTATATTTTCTGAACTGTATAACATTACTTTATTTACACTCAAATCACGAATGCCATCAATAAAATAAGATTTTAGTGCACTCTCTTCGATGCACGAGAAGCTCCTTCATTTGTAGAAAATATTCGTGCACACTTTCTTTTTCTTTCATTTTTCTGTCTGTCAATTGCTTATGTACTTCTGCACTATTGGCCGTAGATTCGAACTCTTCACTCAACGCCTTTTTCAGCCTACCCCAAGTAGTTATACCCCTCTCACTATTTATAAAAGTTTTTGCCAGACCTTTCAATGATTTCTTTGCATAAATAAGCCGTTGGAAATCATTGCACTGCATGAGTGCTGCAACTTTTTCGAATTCGTTTATCCAGCTTTGTATTGGGAATATTTCACTACCATCATACGGCCTAATTGTGTCTCCAATGTCGCGAAAAGTTATTGCAACTCTTTGCTGTTGCACATACACTTGTCTTACTCCTTCTTGCACGTTATTGCTACCGCCGGCAATGTTTACGTCGCAGCAACTTTCAAAGCATTCGTCTTTATTTTTATTGCCAATGTCTCCATATTCGTTGCCTTCATCGACTTTGTTTTCATCGTCGTTTTCGTTACTATCGTCGTCTTCCTTATCGTTGTCGTCGTTGTCGTCGTTGTCTTCCTCATCACCTTCGTCTTCGTCATCATCGTCGTCCTTGTTAGCGGCAAGTAAATTTCCCTGTCGAAGGTTTTGGAAAATGTTATCAACTATATTGCCGGATTTGTAATTTAAGCAAATCTGCAAATTGAAGCGAGATCAACTTCTGCCAAATTTTGCTTAATGTACGCAAGTTTTTTTGTGTATGCGCCGTCGCACTCATCAAAAGTGAACCCTTCAAACTCGCGCAAGCGCTGCCGATTCCGTCTATCACCCTCACACTCGAACATAAATTTATGTAGGGCTGTTATACACTCTTTTCGGCTTTTGCGTAGATTTTCGCGAACATTCACGAAGTCGCTTAGTTTAGACATTTTTCCAGTTTTGTAGCTTTGTCGCGTCTGATTTTTAAAATAAACCGCCGTTTCGTCGTATTATGCCAACTTTTACATCAATCGTCGCTAACTTTGTTTAATATGTTTGCATTTTTTTTCACTTTTTCGATTTAATACTCATCGTATTTTGCTTTCTTAGCAAAATTGACCTTTTTTACGTCCTTTGGATTCGCTTCACATGCACTTTTAGCACACTAGTCTTATGGTTGAGCCCCCATATTTTGTAGGATTCCACCCACACGCCACCAAATGTATTAAACACAGATTATTAATGTTGATATGAGTTTAATTAGAACTTTGTTCAATGAATAAAATGTGATGAATAACATGTAATGATTTAAATTGAATTTAAAAGGTATGACATTAAATGAACGTTTAAATTAAAAAAATGCTGCAGACACCAAAATTCTGTCGTTCGTCTTCGGCTTTTCAAACGCTACTAGTTATTTGTAGTTACTTCACGGACATTTCGCTAACGCTGCTGAGGGGTTGCCAGGTTTCCCCGTTCAAATGAAACTATTGCAGGGTTTCCCTGTCCCCACATAGGTAACATTACATCGGTTTGAAGCCAAAGATATGAATAAAGTTCTGAAACTCATCAATCTACGAATATGTCCTATTTACGTCAAATCGAAAAATACACGGTATTTATTCAAAACAAAATTAGTAGAGATGCGCGAACTATGAAAAAACATAAACTAAAGATAGTTTAGTGGAACAAGTTGACTACTCAAGTCTCTAGAACGGGTGTTCAAAAAAATTTTATCATTACCAAAGAAATTGTCTGTTATTTGTTTATCCAAGCAAAATATGAAACTTTCGCTAATATCTATCTATAGCGGAATGTTTTCTCTTTATTTCACCATAATAAATATTTTTCTGAGAACCTGTTAAAAAGATATAACCCATTTTATGCGTACCGATTTTGAGTGAACAATGCTTTATGGAGAAAAATGCACAACATTGTCAACAAAAAAAAATTGCCAAAAATCATTGATATTTCGTAGCCACCTCAAACTTGCACTTTATTAGCCTAGAATTGAATGGGATATAGAACTGCATTTATGTATAAGATAATAAAAAGTGTGAAATTTAATTGATACTTTGTTGATGTACATACATATATGCATATACCTTTTGAACAAATAGGCTGCATTCCAAAACGTCAAAATACAAAGCATCGGTCTGTTTTATTTCTAAACTACAGTAAAAGAGAAAGTCTAATTTTTGCAACCTACTTGAAAACTAGCATCGAACCGTGGTTGCGCACATTTGACATTACAATCTACTGAGGTTTAGAAGTAAAAAAGGCTGATGCTTTGTATTTTGACGTTTTGGAATGCACCCATACTTACTGCTCCAAGATTCAAAATCCATTGATCGAAAAGCAAGTAGCTTCATGCCAATTTTTCCGCTTTTAATATAATGAAAAGTCAGGGACAAAAAGGACTGTTTTAAATAATTATCGGTCCATAAATCGGATGTAAGTCCATAGGCACTGAGATTCTTTAGTTCCATTTTCAAGGAATCATGCGCTATATCATATAGATGGTCAGCGGCGGATCCAGACTTTTTCTGATGGGGGGGTTTCGCGTGAAATTTTGCCCCTTATTCTAATTACCTTAAACGAGCAATTTTTGTGTATATGTGTATGTATCCATAAGTTTCTCGGCAACGGCTTTAACGTAGCGAAATGAAAAGTCGTTTAAAAAAGACTTTTGAAGTTGTATTTCTTCCAATTGTCAAAAACTTTTTATTTGTCATGGGGAAAATACCGTAAAAATTATTTGTATCGTGCGAATATCTATAGAAATTATTAGGGTTTGAAAAACTGTTAGCACTGCGACAACAGCCAAGCATTTGCTTTTTTATAAATTGTTGTTGCTATGCTAGCCGGCAATTACAAGTACCTGATGATGCAGAAGCAATGAGCTTAGCCGACGACGCTTTAAAGGAATTTGAAGAAAAGCGACAAGATGCAGAAAAAACTTTCATTTGCTTTTCGAACACGTAGAAGAAGTATGCACCAACCTAGGTACAGAAATCAAAGTACCGCGATACAGCAGTCACCAAAAGAATCGCTTTAATGTGAAAACCGGAGACGCCGAGGCATACTATCGCATTGCTTTTTACATTCTCTTCCTTGATACATGTAATGTACCTTAGCTTAGGTACAAATTACTTTATTAAATAAAAGAGAACAATTAATAAGGCACGTGTTTTATTCAATACTTTGTGTCTAGAACAATCTACAAATATATATATGAAAAATGTGTACACCAAGAATGAGTGTGTAGTAATGATATGTCAAAGTTAGGAATGTGTATTGTGAATCGATTATATGTGTGTTCCTGAACCAATGATAGGTGTGTTCTTGACATCCCTCCTTTTCAGCGGTACCTTGCCGGTGTCTTAATTACACGTCCACAGCGAGTGCGCGGTGGGTGATTGAGACTAGCTGCATCCTGTCGTGTAGCGGGCGTGGACGGCTCAGCTTCCAGAGGCACGTCATCTGGCGAACACTGTTGTGTTGTGGTTTCTGTCGGTGGCTGTGTTGGACTCGAAGGACTTTGGATTTTTGGTTCAACAGTAGGACGGTCAGTGGACGAGTTAGGATTAACGTCAAGGGATGAAGTGGCTGGCTTAAGATGCCATGTGTTTCTTCTGTATGTGGCGCCATCCTCGGTTTGTACTCTGTACGAGCGGTGTCCTTCTGGTCTCACTATATAAGCTGGAACCCAGTTATTATGGCTTTGTCTAAGCAGTACTTTCTCTTGCGTAGTGTATTCTCTACTCTGTTTTTTATTTCTGTCTGCTGTTCCTTTCTCACCTTCCTTGAGTTTTGTTAGTTTTTTGCTCACGTTTTTTATTATTTTTGGATTGAGTAGTTTTTCATTGGTAGGTAATAGCGTTCTGGTTCTTCTGTTCATTAATCGTTGAACTGGAGACCCTAGGTCCAAGCGTGGAGTATTCCGATGATGTAGCAAGGCTAGGTGTATGTCCGTGTTGTCTTCAAGGCACTTTTTCATCAGGTTTTTAGCCTCTTGTACATAGCGTTCTGCTAGGCCATTTGAACGTGGAAAATGAGGGCTCGAAATTCTATGTTCAAAGTTCCATTCTTTCTGAAAGGCCCTGAATTCGCTACAATCAAATTGTTTACCACCATCTGATAATAGTACCTCCGGAATGCCGAAGGTAGCAAACCATGTCTTAAATTCTTTAATGACGTTGAAACTGGTGATATTGTTTAGTTGTTTAAAGTCAAAATATCCTGAGTAGCTGTCTGCAATGAGGAGGCAATCCTTTCCTCTTAAGTGGAATATGTCCGAAGCGACAATACTCCATGGCCGTTTCGGTGCGGCTTGTAAATTTATTTGTTCCATCTGATTATCTTTTTGTATTTTGCTGCATGCACCGCAAGTTTTTATGTACTCAGTTAAATCTTTGGTCATTGTTGGCCAGAATATATTGTCACGGGCCAGTTTTAGCGTCCCTTGTAGTCCTTTATGACTAAGGTGGCAATGTTTCATAACTAATGGCACCATTGTGTTTGGAACCAATACTCGGTGATCTTTAAAAATTATGTCCTCATAAACGCTGAGAGCTTCTCTATAGTACCAATATTTTTTCAGATTTACGGGCACTTTATTGATGGTATCTGGCCATCCCTTTAGTATGATTAACTTTAAATCATTAAGTTCTTTGCTTTTTGCGGTCTCTGCTTTAAGTTCGTCTTTTCGCGTTTTCGTGAATGGCACAATAGCACATATTTGTAAATTTTCTGTATTTAAATCTTCACCATCTAAGTTTTCGCAGTCTCTACTCAGGAAATCTGCTACATACAATTCCGTACCTTTTTTATAAGTAACTTTTGGATTATAAGGCAGGATTTGATACATGATTCTTTGCAATCTCGGTGGTGCATCTGTTATTGGCTTTTTAAATATCGTCTTAAGAGGCTTATGGTCAGATTCGATCGTTAAATCTTTGCAACCCCAAATGTACATGTGAAATTTTTTACATGCAACTAGAATGGCGTTTGCCTCTTTTTATAATTGGCTATAGCCCTGTTCGGTTTTTGTGAACGATTTTGCACAGTAAGCGATCGGCTTCTGTTTTTGTATTAGTACTCCGCCACATGCATAACTACTGGCATCTACTGACAGCAAAATTGGCGCTTTAGTGTCATAATACCCTAATACTGGTGGATTCTTTAGCAGATTTTTCAATTTATTGAATGCTTCATTGTGTTGCGTATCCCATACCCACTCAACATCTTTTCGCAATAATTGTCTTAGTGGTTGGGTGATATCTGCCAAATTTTTTATAAATTTCGACACGTATGTTACCATACCCAAGAATCTTTGCAACTCTTTCACGTTTTCCGGTTGCTTAATTTTCGTTATAGTTTCTATTTTTTCGGGATCAGGTTTTACACCTTCAGCGGAGACTATATGTCCTAGAAACTTTACTTCTTGTGTATTAAAAACGCATTTTTCTTTGTTCAGCTTAAGGCCTGCTATTTTGAATTTGTCAAGTACCTCTTGAGTGATCCTCTCTAGTTCTAGTTTGCTGGTGGCATGCAAGAGAACATCATCCATTGATACCTCAGCGTTCTTTACGTCCGCGATCAGCGAACTCATTACTTGTTGGAAAACCTCCGGAGCCGATGCTAAGCCAAATGGCATCCTTAAGCAAGAGTATCTTCCGAACGGGGTACTAAATGTCAGATATTCTGAAGTACGGGGTGTTACTTGCAGTTGCCAAAAGCCTTTTTTACAATCGAGTAACGTGAACCAATTTGAGCCGTGAATGCGCGCTGTAATTTCTTCTAACGTATTAAGTGGNATATGTATATTGCTCATTTGAAAAGCCGGTCCCTAAACCATAAATCAGTTTTAAATAATTTTAGTGTTTTGTTTCCAAAGTATGATTTTAACGAAAAAAAACTGATGAATTGTTTGCTTTCTATGAAAAAGTAATCGACTGCTCGATACAAAACTTTCTTCTGGAGGTAAAAATAGGGGAAAAACGAGTTTCACACGAACATTTTCGAAATGCTCTCGAAGCATTACAAGTAGCTAATACAACGTCTTTTGGGAATGTTTTTAAGATCTTACGTATATTGGCACTTTTGCCCGTTTCAATAGCCACACCTGAACGACGAAGCTCTAGAAGAATTTTTCAAAAAACCACGAAAAATTTGAAAATTCTTCGTTTCATTGATTTATGGGTAAAAGGAAAAATTTAATGTGTTTAAAATTATCAAAATGTTTTATAAATAAAGCGAAAAATTTAATATATGATTTTAAAAATTCGTGTTTAAAACTTTGTTACGCATACTTTCTTCTAAAGAGCCTTTTTTCTAGACCCATATTAGTGAAATATTATTCTTTGACTTGAAGGGGGGGGGGGGG